GCGTTATACATTGTGTTTCGAAGCTGAAAAGGGTTCATTTATAAGTTATACATATATTAATTAAAAGGCACTTACAGGCTTACGTATCTGCAGTTAGTCATTCGTCGCTGCTAAGAGTAAGTGATATCGGTGAAAATGATTTTTAGTTTTTAATTTTAATTTCAAAATTCAAATTTTCGAAGTCATAGGCCAGTTGGAGGTCCTATTACTAATAAGTTTAAATGCTTTTCAAGTGTAATATCAGGAGAACAAGTATACAAGAAAAGAGTATCAGTGACGTTAAAAGCTTAGAACAAAATGATGTTGAGAAAAGAAACTCTTGCAGCATTCATTTTTTGGTAGCATTTATATAGCATAAGAAATATTTTTTCTATCATTGCAAATGCAAGAAATATTGAGTTGTCCATATTTAGATGCACTACCATAATATATCAGATAAGAGGACATGTAATCAGATCTATTTTTAGAGAGATTGGTTATGAAATCGAACTTACATTAACATGCTGCTGCTCAGTCGTAATTGCACCACCAATCGCAATAGCGACGTCTTCCACGACGGCTTTGAAATTATTTCTGAAATCACGAAGTAAAGAAATTACAACAGTTATATTAGATACAGTTTCACTCTCTGATACCATGACGATTGTTTTTGTTTTTCTTTTAAGATTGTGTGGATCCTTAAGTCAAGGTAATGACGTAGTATTCAAATTTTAATAATCATTAAGTATTACATTAATAGAACACTGTGTAAAATTTTAGAAACTTTACTAGGCTATTAAAAAAGTTGTCATGTCTTGAATTCTTATGTTGAATGGAAAAATTTTGATTTCATTAATGAGAAAAAATAGGTGCAAATAATGAGAGAATTTTGTAATTTTGTAAAAACTCACACCATTTAAAGTAAACGTAACAATGACGGTGAAAAAACAAAAAGGTACGAAGTTAATTACATTTTTTGGATGTGTTGATATTCTTTGACCATGAAATGGAAAACAATCTCGGGACCGGTCCGATGTCTGGACACCACGTTGATCGCAGCGGTCTTGAAATCGATTGAGTAGTTTGGATCGAGAGTTGAGTTTAGGTATTTCTTCAGAATCTCAGACGAGTTGGAACAGGCTAGGGCCTCCTGCAAATCCTTCCTATTGTCGTCGTCGAGCGTAGATGCAATTATGTACTCCAGAGTACGGGTCCATATGCTCTGGTTCGCGTACCTGACCCCAGCGCAGAGAATTTCTGTCTTCAGGTTAACGTCCAATCTGTGCAGAAGATTATGTTAAGAATATATTGCAAAAAGTTATTTATCAAAAGATATTAATACAATATTAATTGCCTTCACATAATTATTTCTGGACTACGGATTTTATGCATATATGAGGAAATGAAATATAAACACTAATGCATAGAAATATATGGAATATTAAATGGAAAATGCATTCCATAAAACATTACAAAAAATTCTATTCAAAATACATTTCTATAAATGGTTTACTGTGCACAAGAAACCATAGTTTACATATTACATTCGCATGCAAAATTTGTAGAAAATTGGGAAGCTATATAGTTTTTAAGTTATATCAATATGTTCTTATTGGATTTAGTGGAATGGAACTGCATTGTTATATTAAATTGAAAAGAAACTAAAGAAAATAGTGATAGGATTTTTAAATATACAATATAATTAATTATATTAAAAACATATTTCTCCAAGAATAATGAACACTCAGAAGATGATTAAAATTATTCGTTGTGAATACTTAAATCATTTTTCAGATTTTTGTTATCATATGAACAAACGCTTTCTCTTTACATGATAATAATATTTTGTATAAAAATTCGCAGTCATATATCGTTTCATTTATAAAAGGAAGAGCATACGAATTATCAATTAAGAGAAGAAAATGTCGACTTACTTCATCTCAGGATTTTTGAGCCATTGTTGATATGTTTTCTCAGCGTAGGATGTGCAATTCTTGACGCCAGCTTCGCAAGCCCATTTCATTGCTTTTATTCTGAGCATTTTTACGAGATCGCTGTCATTCGCCTTCGGTTCATAACCAACGTCCTTTGTTAAAGTCCTCATCAGGTATGCGACGTAACGCTGCAAATTTCGGTATTTCATACATTCTAGAGATGTTTTCTTTATTATATTGTATCATAATTTATATTAAAATCATATGAATCATCTTACGGTGTACCGTAGACAAATGAGAAAATGCCCAACACTTTAAGCATGAAAATTTTACAGCAACTACATTCTATATAGAATTATACATATATTTCGGTTAGAACAGAAATTGCACATTTTTTAATTGCCACATTAACAATCAACGTTTCTTTTCCTGACGCCTTTGTAAGGCACGTGTCGGGAACGGCAGACTTCGGCAGGTGGGCGCTCGACCCCAGCGATAGGTCGCTGGGTTGGCTGGCGGACACGGGGTGACCGCGCAAGGAGCGGTCGCTCTGGTTCCGTTGTTACCTCTTCTCGGTCGAATACGACCGTTAAAAGCGAGAGGCCCTTCGTGGAGATAGGGACTAATCGTGTTCCTAGGCTCGGGCGTTGTGACCACTGAGCGCGCTACCTGAGAAGGGGTGGCCACTATAGGTAGTGGCTCGCCTGTCGCGCCCGCGGCTCGGCCAGATTGGTACGGGAAACATCAATTAGGTCGCGATTCGTACTTTCCAAAACTAGCCAATGGCGACGCGTCGCGTGTAAATTAGATTTAAGTAGCTTCCCCGAAATATTTGGAATCGTTGTTCTTGGCGTACGGTTTTCTCAGCGTGAGACAATACGTTGAGTTTTTCCTACCCCACAGGCTTTGCCTGGGTGAATGCGAGAGCAACGAACGCGACATTTGCTAACGATGAATTATTGTAAAACTGAACGGCGTAGCGAACTATTGAAGTGCTTGGACGCACGTGGACAGGACGGTCATTGTGTGTCGACTAGGGCTTGACCAGTCCAAGTTACTTGGAGCCGATTCATTAACTTTCCTTGGAGGAAAGCGATTCGGGCTTGAGTTCGAAGCGTGATTGGAGATCGGTGGCTGCGGACAGCACTGTTTAGGGTGAACGGACCAGGTCCGCGGGGACCGGTTTCGGGCTAAGTACCTGTTCGCGAATTTTCCGCTCCGAGGAGCCTTTGGGAAGAAGCGAGCACAGGTGGCCACGGGTTTGCGCTTTCGTTCGTTTATGGTAGAGCGATCGCATTGGCGCTACTTAGCCGCGCTTGTTAATTGTGGAGCGATCGCGTTGGCGCTACTTAGCCGCGCTTGTTAATTGTAAAGCGATCGAGTTGGCGCGATCTAGACGCGTTTGTTAATTGTAAAGCGATTGCATTGGTGCGGCTGTGGCATCGTTTTTGCCAGCAGGCCATCTGATTGGTGCGGCGGTGGCAGCGTTTTTG